AAAACCTAACAAAGCTCCATTTCATCAATATTATAGCCTGACCAGGAACATAAAAACCCTCGCCATGTTGCGGAAAATTAATGGTACTAATTTCTTTTAATGGCAACAGTAACTGAAAACTTCATTGACATGTCACCTTGCATGTCAGTCTATTGCTGTCAAAGTGTAAATAAACTTTATTTTAAATGTGCGCAATTGATTTTGTGAATTAAATTGCTAAAATCTTTTTATAGTCGTGAAAGAAAAGTGGTTCACAATGTGTTAAAGTATTTGTCGGAGAGAAATACTAAGGGTTCGGACAATATTTTCATTGAATAATGTTTCCGACAAAGGTTGTCAAATTGACTGACATGTTTATCGTATAGTACAGTCAACTATGAAAATTTGCTGTGGTTTGTTTCAACTACCTATTTTAAAGTTTTTTGTCACTTTGTAAGTATTGAATTTTATGGAATTGGGAAAGAAGTACCGAGTTTGAAGCGTTCATGAGCAGACATTGTAGTTGAATATTCAAGTTCAGAATTTGATTATTGATGAATAATAATAAAATCCTACTTGCTCGATTGATGGTTTCATTTAATTTATTTAAACCAGTTTACCTATAGTATAATACGTTTTTGTTAATTTATGAAAATATTAAATAAGCCTATAATCCTGAATCCTGATACATAAAGTTAGCCTATTAATTTAATACAGGTACGACTGTACCCAGTGTTGCACTATCAAATGCAATTGAAGCGCCTCTATGCCAGGGTTTTTATGTTCCTGGTCAGGCTATACCTTAATTGCACAACAAAATCACTATTTTTGGACGTAAAAGCTCATGATATCATAGCAATATCTATCATTAAGAGCGATTGGAATTACAACAACGCGCGAAAATTGTTCATAAAATTAATTGGGACTTTCGCACTTCATGAAGAACAAGATTGAGAAAAATTACCCATCTAATTCAAGGCTGTAAATATTTTCAAGTAAACAGTATCTTGTAAATAGTAAATAAATTAATTGATATAAAAGAGCATCTTTATTAACCATAAATGCTCTAATAGTCTTTCAGTTGCGTTAAAAAAAAGGATGAACCTTCTCCGTCTTTATTATTGTAACTGAAGAGCTGAAGGACTTAACGAGAAGTCTGTTGTTGGAATAGTTTTTATTTTCGAAAATTCCGTCTTCGTTTGTTTTGATTGGATAAATCGAGCACCAATACTCTTCAGTTAAACGAATGAAGTTATTGTTTGTATTTCCATTTGTACTTCATTCGTCCACAAAGATTATTAATCCAGTCAATGAATGCTTTAACGACGGTGTAGAGAGAAATCCGTGGAACACAATTTCTGACCTCGGGACTTTATTTAGACTAGTTAGGAGGTGAACATAGCAAAAGTCCCCGCTCTTAGCCCTTGAGCCGGCGGGGAGAGGAGGATTTAAAGGTACCACTTTTCGGTTTTTCGCTTAATCCTCGGAAACTATGCGTCCTAGTGACATGGCTACTATGAACCAAAAATAGCTTATTCAATTTGCTACAGGTCAGATAGTCAAGTTTTTCTATATTTTGTATAATTTTCGCGGCATCAGCTCTAGAAGATCTGTAATATTGGAAATTTTATTTTTGTGTCACATGTTCCCATCAGGAGAAAATTGACTAAATCAACATTAAGCAAACATTATAGACATGCGGGAGCATGTTAAGCCTAGTTCCAGGGAGGGGATTGCACCGTGAGTAATATTTAGAGGAATCACTTGGAGCCACTTTTGACTCCTCATCACTCAAAAACGACTGTGCATTAACACTTCAAATTTGTCTCATGTGTTGAGACTTGCAAGATAAATATCAGCTTCATATTTCATAAATACACCTCAAACGGTTATTTAGGTATTGACGTTAAAAAAATATTGACTAGACTATATGAATATCAGGCCGGCCACAGGCTTTGTGATTCGAGAAGCTTGACGTGCTAATTACAGAACATAATACTTATAGGTGGGTACGTCACCGCGGTTTAAATGTTGAGCTTGGACCTCGTTTGATATGGAGGATCGATTGGTATAGAGAGAGCAGAGAAGATATTATGTGATGCCCATTTTGATTAGAAGTATCAAGTGGAGTAAAGTTGGGCCTACCTGAAAAAGTTTCATACTACCCTTAACTTACGTAATAGACACACGAGTATAAGAACAAATGAAGACTGATAACTGTCAAAGCCCAGGTTCACAAGCTCTCTTCAAAATAGCATTTAAATTAATAAAAATAATCATAAAAAGTGCGGCTCAAATATCAATTTACTATCGAATGAAAAAACTCAGTACAGACCATTTTCATCAAGACCTTTATAAGTAAAAAAATTCAATTACCTATGGCTTAAAATTTCAATCAAGTAGAAAATAAATTAAGACTGTCAAAGCTTATGTTACGAACGGCCTCTTTTGATAGTTTATGGTTTTATATTTTTATACTTTACTATATGTCACTTGTCATCTGTCTGTCTCTTTTTTATCCCTATAATCCTGTATCTTCCTTTTATCCTTTTATTATATCGCTTTCCCTTCCTTGAGCCTGAGTATCATTTTTACTCCTTTTTATCCCAATTCCTAACATTTTTGGTCCTTCTTCCGGCAAAATTTATTCCCTTCATTTTTTCGCTTACCAGCCATGATCACTCGGGCTCAAAGAAAAGCGCAAGATATTAAATCGGGTATAGCCGAGGCTAGGCAGCCTATACGGGGCTCCCCTCACGTTGCTGCACCCGACCCCGCACCAGTCGCGACCGCCCCCGCGGCGGCCGCCGACGCGGCATCTGTTACAGGATCGTCATCTTGTTCATCGGCCACCGTTCGAGCACGCATCCTCGCCGTGCAAGCTAAGTTCGCTCGCAGAGCTGCCGACGCAGAGCGAGCGCGCGTGGAAGCGGAACGCGTGCGTGCCGCTGAAGAAAGAGCGCGGTTAGAAGCTGCCGAAGCCGTGGCGAGTGAGCTTGAGCTGCAAGCGGAACTTGCCCATATAGAAGCCAGCTTCAGCCGATCTCGCTCCAGTCGTCACAGCAGCCGCAATCTTACGGAGTGGTTGGAGGATACGGCGCCTTCAAATCAGGCATCGTCTACCAGCAGGTTTGCCTCTCCGGGCGCGCCTATCTCTGCGTGCCCAGGTAAATCTGCCCTTGCTAACGTGCCTATTTCAGGACAACCTGGAGCTGCCACCGGGGATGCGCCTACCTCTGCGCATCCCGGCCGTTCCGTTTCTATGGTTGCCGCGCCCCTTGACCCAACCCTCCTGCCCGCCGGTCCCAGTGTCTCGGAGTGGTTGGAGAATACGGCGCCTTCAAATCAGGCATCGTCTACCAGCAGGTTTGCCTCTCCGGGTGCGCCTATCTCTGCGTGCCCAGGTAAATCTGCCCTTGCTAACGTGCCTATTTCAGGACAACCTGGAGCTGCCACCGGGGATGCGCCTACCTCTGCGCATCCCGGCCGTTCCGTTTCTATGGTTGCCGCGCCCCTTGACCCAACCCTCCTGCTCGCCGGTCCCAGTGTCCCGCAGGAACACCTGTTACCTGTCCGCACTTTATCTGAACGGCCCATAAACAAATCGTTTTGCACCACAGCCATCGGTTCTTCGCCATCTGTAAATAATCATCCATCACAATCTGTAATTATTATACCAAATTGTAATTATTGTCAACAACAACATTTGATTGACAACTGTCATAAATTTCGTCATCTAGACATTATGTCAAAATTAAATTGGGTCCGTAAGGAAAAAGTTTGCACTCGGTGCTTGAAAAAAGGTTTTCATACTTATAAGTCGTATAATCGAAATACTTTATGTCAAGTCTCCGGTTGTAAATACAGGCATCGACATCGACATCATGAAAAATTACGCGCAGTCGACGTCCCTTGTGGTCCTTCCAATCTTAATTCTCCTCCACTATCTGGCCCAGGTCTTCTATCTTCTTACGATGATTTAATTTTCCGGGTTCGAGAGGAGAGAGATTCTTGTTCAATTGCCATCAAGGAGATTAAAATTGGATCCCAATACAAGGACGTACGACACTTCCCATGCCGCGATCTTTCCTATTTGCCGTTTCGATCATCTTTAGTGCTGCATGATGTGCAAAAGCCAGTGCATTTTAAAGGCTTTTGGGTTTCGAATATTCCGGAGGCACCCGCTCTTGTGCCTTCTGAGCTCAAGTTTGTAGATAGTAATTATGTAGATAGAAGTAATCTTTAGCAAAGCGTACGAGCTTTTGGTTTTATCCGGTATTCCATACCTGATCAGTAGGATTTCACTATTTCTTTTTTGAATATGTGCTAAGGTGAACCAACACATTATCCCACTTCCAATTTCGTGTATTTGTTATGGCTCAGTACACTCGTTTCCATTAATATTAGAAGTAAATATTGCTATTTTTTGTTTCATTTAGAAAGACATTAAAGAATTAGTCTTCATATTTATTTAGTTCTCACTTTTTGTTGGAAGTCGAAGAGGTTTCGCCATTAGCAACTTCCATTTGTATATTATAGGTACCTTTAATTTCTATTATCTCACCTATAATATTTTTGTGTGTACGGATCCGTTCCGTTTCAGCCAATGGCTGCATTTTTTCGTTTCAATAACCGCGCATCAGTTCATCAGGTGCTTGTAAGGTAGAGCTAATGTGTGTAAACCTTGCACGCTCCTGGCATTTCAAACTGTGCAATCCTAAGTTTAAATTTATTTTTAATCTTTAACTTTGGCTACTCTAGTTTTTTTATTTGTCTTAACTTTTGCAAAGTAAAATTTCGACGTGTGGTTCTGATTTAATACCAAGATGGTTATTGTGGCTCTCGGTAATATCTAACTGCTTTTGAAAATTGGATGGACCCTTCTGTCGTCTTGAGTGGAAGTCTTGGGTGGAACGCATCGAGCTAGTGGATTGCAGACGTGTCATAACCACCAACGCCTTGCTCACGGCATACCAATATGGTCGTTGATGGGACTATTGGATACTGAAGCTCCATCGGATTTACGGCTCGCCATCTTCAATTTCGTCGTATCCAGAAAGGGACCGCTCGTAGCCAGTTGAAGCCAATGGTAGCCGCTGCAGCGTTGACACTCCGAAATGGTTGGAGAATACGGCGCCTTCAAGTCGGGCATCACATATCTACAGCTCTGCCTCTCCGGGCGCGCCTATCTCTGCGTGCCCAGGTGGAGCTGCCGCAGGTTTCCCTCTCCGGGCGCGCCTATCTCTGCGTGCCCAGGTAGACCTGCTTCTTCAAGTGTACCCGATTTGCAATCTGGAGCTGCCACCGGGGATGCGCCTACCTCTGTGCATCCCGGCCGTTCCTTATCTAAGGTTGCTGCGCCTCTTCCTTTAACTCTGCTGGACGCTGCTTTATCTACGGTTGCCACGCCTCTTCCTTTCTGCACGACGCCTCTTCCTTACTGGACGACGCCTCTTCTGTTCACCTGTCTGCAAGACTCCCCCTGACCCGAAGCCAGCACATTGTGAACCACCACGTCACGTCACAAAGTTAGATGAACCTTTAACTCTTTTTGTAGCCCACCTTAAGGCCGGTCGTATCAATCTCTCCCGCTCTGTCTCTCTCTTTTTTCTTGATATTCATATTCTATCATTGTTGAGAGAGAGGGAGAGATGTTACGAACGGCCTCTTTTGATAGTTTATGGTTTTATATTTTTATACTTTACTATATGTCACTTGTCATCTGTCTGTCTCTTTTTTATCCCTATAATCCTGTATCTTCCTTTTATCCTTTTATTATATCGCTTTCCCTTCCTTGAGCCTGAGTATCATTTTTACTCCTTTTTATCCCAATTCCTAACAGCTTATTAGCCTTCAAAGATTCATTAGTAACTACACTTTGCTGGATTCCTTTCCTGAATGCCCTTTGAGACCATTCGTATTTCGTTATCGTATACATTTTAAAATCAAATACCATTTATTAGGATTCCACTATCATTTAATAGAATTCCAATATCATTTCAAACTGTTTGCGTTTAGAGAGCAGTATTTACAACGTTTGATGTTAATTAAAGCATCAGTACACATGTCCGGTACGTTTGCACACAACACTGCTAAAATAAACATGTGCGGCTACACTACACATACTACACACTACGTCCAGTGGCGGCTAGTTGCCGTGGCTGTTACAAACCACTTCAAATTAGACGCAAGACCGCACACTAACTATTGGTAATTGTCAATTTTATTCCGACGCAGTTGTCATACAATTTACCGCGTGCGGTCTGCCAACGCACGGCAAGCGCGGGGCAAACGTCCGGCACGAAACGTCTAAATTGAAAGCGCCCTTAAAATCATGAGGTCCAAAGTAATAGACTTTTTTCTGAGCTTATTCACTCAAAAGATGACTAGGTATCAAAGAAATTTTAATCAAAAGGCGTATACATACAATGAAAATAATCTGCCTAGCATATAACGCTAATGCTTCAAATACACGCCATCTAAATATCAAAGGTCTCAAAACTCAAGGACTGACTGACTGACTGGCTGACATAGTGAACTATCAACGCACAGCCCAAACCACTGGACGGGTCGGGCTGAAATTTGGCATGCAGGTAGATGTTATGACGTAGGCATCCGCTAAGAAAGGATTTTACGAAGATCCACCCCTAAGGGGGTAAAACGGGATCCACGCGCACAAAGTCGCGGGCGGCCGCTAGTTATGCATATTTCTATTAGACCTATCACGTAAGTAACCTGTCAGTAATACACGTGTCAGAACCCTTCGAAAGTCAACAGGTGGCTAGACATATTCTACCCAATTTGAAGGCTACTCCGATATAAATAACAAACGTTTGAATTGGCTACTTCAGTTGGGGAGCTAAATGCTTTCAATTTATCCACCCTAACAGCTTCTAGGTACAGCTACGAGTATACCAAAACTGTTTGCAGTGGTTGGTTGGTAAATTGTAGCCACGCAAAGGCTAGTTTCACACTGTATTACAGTTTTAGATGTACTAAAAAGTAACAAGCGATGCATAGTTATACAGGGTGTCCCGTAATGTAACGTCAAGCCGGAACTGGGTGTTGAGGCAAGTTGTGCTGGTTATCAGAAAAATATAAAAAAAAATCTATGTGGCATATTTAAAAAATTATAGGCATTTAAAAAAAATCTAAAAATTCTACTCCAGGTGACGGTCCTTTTACTCGTGTTGCCACAAATCTTCACTTTTTCCAAATTTTTTTTTTGTTATGTAAGCCTGAATAATGCTTCTCTAAATTGTTATCAAAATTACAAAACCAGCTGCTCCAACTTGGATGGAAAAAATACATTATTCCCAAAAAAAATATCAAAATAAAAAATTTGCCTAGTTTAAACTGACTGTACTGAAAAAAAAATGTACTACGCGAGTGTGGCAAGTGACGTCATAATTTGGCGCATTTAGTAAGGATTCCAAAATGGTATAACACTTTGTAAAATCTTGCTGTAATTGTCGACAATTTTTGTTTATTGGAAATAATCCCGTTTTTAACTTTATCTACCTTGGTTAAAAATATTATTCTAATGTGCCCAAAATTCAAGTTTCTGGCTTAAGTGAGGTGGAGAAGCCATTTTAAAAGGTATGAGCGGGACGGAGAGGGCCATCTTACCAAGCAGGGATGTTATGGATATCCGTAACGTACGGATAGTTTCGGATAAAGGCCAAACTGCAAAACTCTATGAAATCTGCAGTATACACGCCGCAGCTGCAATGCCGCGCTGCCGATTTCATAGTTTTGCAGTTTGCGGTCTGCGGCCCGTCTTGGAATTGTACCTTAAATCTTAATATTTGTTACCAACTTGTCTGGCATTCGCTGGCACCATCTAATATACCAGCCTGTTTTACCTTTATCATACATAGGTGTCGTCTTAGTTGGTACATAAAGTAGCTATGTGGGTCACGCTCACGCAGCATCTTGCTATTTGTATTATACCTACATTTTTGAAATTCTAATAATTCCGTAACCGAAATTATCCGAGACTTTCGGATAATCTGAAATGATTTCATATCCGTGACCGTAACCGAAACCGGTATAATATTATTCTAATATCCGTAACCGTATCCATAACCGAAACTTCATATCCTTATTATCCCTGTTACCAAGTACAAGTGCAGGCAGAGCAGTAAAGGCGCGCGCGCACGGGTGACTTTTGTCACAGTATGTCAACTACTAATTACTGTCATGGTGACAAAAGTTTCTGTGACTGACTGTACGGTAGTCAGTCACAGAAACTTGAATTTTGGGCACATTAGAATAATAATTTTTAACCAAGGTAGATAAAGTTAAAAACGGGACTATTTCCAAAAAACCAAAAATTGTCGACAATTAGAGCAAAAATTTACCAAGTGTTATACCATTTTGGAATCCTTACTAAGTGCGCCAAATTATGACGTCACTTGCCACACTCGCGTAGTACATTTTTTTTTCAGTACAGTCAGTTTAAACTAGGCAAAATTTTTATTTTGAAATTTTTTTTAGGAATAATGTATTTTTTTCATCCAACCTGGAGCAGCTGGTTTTGTAATTTTGATAACAATTTAGAGAAGCATTATTCAGGGTTACATAACAAAAAAAAAATTTGGAAAAAGTGAAGATTTGTGGCAACACGATCAAAAGGACCGTCACCTGGAGTAGAATTTTTAGATTTTTTTTAAATGCCTATTATTTTTAAAATATGCCACATAGATTTTTTTTTATATTTTTCTGATAACCAGCACAACTTGCCTCAACACCCAGTTCCGGCTTGACGTTACATTACGGGACACCCTGTATATTGAACCAATCTAACGTCGTTTTTCAACGTCAAATCCGATATCTGTTATCAGCTTTATGCAAACTACCCATACGCGATGTGGCATGTGTAAACGCAAACGGACAGCCCTCTCACACACGTTGAATGGAAGTGAAATGGAATTTAAAAGCTCAAAAACTGTTTGCGTTCTCGAAATGGATTGTCAGAACTTCCGCTTTCCGGATGCTTTTAAAAAATAAAATCTGCCCCATAACCGGAAGGAAATGGCATATCAAATAATGTGTATGATTGAAAACTGTATGTAAATACTGGTGTAAATACAAGAAATGCTTTGTTTACTGTTAATATTATTTTCCAGTGTGACCTTTAACAATGTGGAGGAGGGACGATAAAAATAAGTAAAATAAAATGCTGGGAGATAGGGCTCGAGCGCTGTCGTCACGATTGCGTGCAATTTGAGACACCTAGCTATTTCTAGCCGAGAACTTATGATACCTATGGGTGTTGGTAATTAAAATACCGATGTGTGATAAAATTGTAACTGGAACCGAGTTTATAATAATAATTATCCAAAAAGAACACGATATTTCCTCCATATTACGTTGTTTGAAAAAAATTACTAATTTTGGAGATATTTGTGAAATGGTGGACTTAAGTTTGTAAAAGGAACTATTTTTTCTCAAGATCAACTATAGTGCATAGACTTTTTGTAAAAGACCGACGCAGAAACTATGTAAGTACCTAACCAATAAAAATCCAAAACTTCAGTAAGTCGCGAGCGAGGCGAAACTACAAAATATGGTCTTCCAATTTTTAAAGGACTGTTACAGTTACAACGTGCTGTTAGTAAAATAAATTTGCATTTTCTACTCAACCAAACAGAATGTTGGAGCTATTCCGTTCCGTTTCGCAGAATAAATTTTATTTTCAATAGCATCTCCCGTTTCCAGTATTGGTCTTTGAAAATACACCTTCAACATGTAGGAAAAATTTAGCAAGGCGACGCATCAGGGCGAGCTCTCTCGCTAAGGCTTCATTTTCTACAATAATTTACGCGGTTGCAGCTCGAGGCAGATTCATTTGAATACAATTATAGAGAAAATAAACATATGGAGCCTCGATGGATGGCATTGAGGCTAATTTACCATTAAATTTGAAAACGTACAAGTTAAGTGAAACACAAAAACTACTTCATAGAACCTTAAATTCATTAGTCTCTTTTCATGCCTAAGTGCTACAGAAAACGACAAAAAAATATGGATTTTATAAAAATAATAACTTTCATGAAGGTTTTAAAGAATAGCAATTCAATTATTTTTGTAT